GGCAGATCGATGGGGTTGTTATAGTTAGTCCTTTAGGGTCATCATTAGCAAATGTGTTCATGGCATATGTTGAAAATCTGGCTAAAGACCCAATCGAAAACATGTCACTTATAAGAGATATGTGAACGATATCTTAGTTATCTGTCAAACACAGGAGAATATGAATTGTTTTTGTGAATAAACTTAACACTGTGAACAAGAGAAGAACGATTAGCTTCCGATCCTATATTCGCTTCTAAGTCGATGAAGTGATTCCTCAATCAAACGATCTATTTTTAGAAAACCAACATGGACATGCCAATAACTTAGTTATTACATTTGTTGCCCTGTGCAATACAAACGCGGTTTGATAAGGTGCCTAATTAACAGGTTGATGTTAGACATTATCACCGTTGAATGCCGGCCAGTTCAGTGGTCTAATGGCTAAGCGCCCGCGCGAGACTCATAAGTCCTAGGTCCGAATCTCGAAGCAGGCGAGATCGTGGATGCGCACTGCTGAGGAGTCCCATACTAGGATGAAACGGCCATCCAATGCTTCCAGGTTTTCCATGGTGGTCTAGCTTCAACTGACTCATGATTTCAACTATTGAGGCTTGATTGTATTTGCACAAATGACGCTACTGATTATGTTGTTAGGTTATTAAACAAAATATTAATGAGAAATGACTAACCTCTTAAATTCACAAACAGGTAGAAAGTTCATGGTACATTGAGACCTACTGTAGCCTTGGTAGGAAAAAAAGCTTGTCTACATCACCTTATCATTTAGAGGTGATTTATTAAAACAGAGTCTTAAATCAGTCATTAACAAGACGTGTTACGCAGCAAAGGTCATTATCAAGGCAAGAACAAGGTCCATGCTTCGTCGCCACATCCCACAATGTTTAACAATTTAAATGTGTGTGTAGTCACACATACATATGCCTGGTCATCGCTAGTTGTTATGTCAGAATCGCTTATCACTTATGCTTGTATAACGAGGAACCACTGCAATTCCAATGATGCGAAAGTAAGAACATCAAATAAAGATTAATTAAACCTCTAAACACGACGATGACGACGGCGGTGGTGACGAGTCTAATCAGTAATACACTCAATTAGATATTGATTTCTACTGCTATTTTGTTTAGGATGAAATCACATCTATGAAAAATACCCAGACTTATAACAAATCACATGCTGCTTATCATATTGAACAAAGTTCATATTCATTTGATACAAGAACATCCTCTATTAAACAAACACAGCAATCTGAGTTTGTTTTTTCATCCTGTCATATCACTGATAATCTTCGTTGGATGATCCATCTACGGCAGTTGGAAAAACCTCATGCCAGACCAATGGTGCACTTGGGCTACAGGATCCCGAAGGAAAAAATGGCGTATGCATTTATTGTTGGTCACCGGCTACAATGAGACTACATTTGACTACATTTGAATAAGATAACAAACTAGGGAAAAGAAAACAAATACTACACTGAGTAGTATTTAACAAAAAATCATAATGAGTAAAGCAATTTGAGTTTGCTATTTTATCCCGTTCATTATCACTGATAATCTTCGTTTTCTTATTGCATAATCGAAACGTATATTTTTAATTCTTAAATATTTATGAAATATTCAGTAGCCTAGTGGTTAAGCGTTCGCGCGCGAAGCAGAGGGTCCCGAGTTCGAGTACCACATGTAGGATCGTAGATGCTCACTGATATGGAGTGCCATATTAGGATGAGACGTCTGTCCAGTGCTTCCAGGTTTTCCATAGTTGTTATAGCTTTAATTGACTCATGAATTTAACTACTAAATTATTATAATATTCACAAAACCCCTTCTCTGATTATAATCATCATATGCTTAGTAGTGACTGTCTCCAAGATGGATTTCCTGGAGTCCTAGTAGGAAGTCGTGACCAGTGTTGTTCAGCCAGGTGACAATGATGGACGGTGAGTCAATATCGTGGATTGGTTGGAGTTACACATTAACTCCGTTGGATACCAGCCGGCTAAATGGTCCTGGTTTCGAATGTTATGAAGCAGGATCATGAATGCGCACTGGTGAAGAGTCTCATACTAGGACGAAACGGCCATTCAATGCTTTCAGGTTTTTAATAGTTGGTCTGACATCAATTGACTCATGAATTCAACTCTTAAATTAATTTTGTTTCTAATAATAAATAGTCTACAATTTCAATGCCCATTTTTTATTACGCTGTATTATATTCCATTTAAATAAGAGAATAAATGAATGATCAATTCAAGTTTCATAAAAGAACTATTATTTAAATCAATCATAGAAACAAACAAACGTGGTGGGGGAGGAGGAGGAGGAGAACATGACAATAACAATTAGAATTGAAACACTAACTCTAACTCCCTCTTCGTTTTACTCCTCGTTCTCCTTCCCCCCACCAAATACCTCCCCCTTCCTTGACAATATGAAATTAGATACTATTTCATATATTACTATGTGTCATTTATGTTTTCAATAGATGACAGATGAATGATTAATTTAACTTATGTATATTACATAGTGACTTATTATGTAATGTGATTATGACATGGGTTATTTTGTTCCCTTTAATTTTTAGATAGTAAATAATTGAAATTTTTAATTATTAACTGAAAGAGACAGTTTGATTATAAAAAAATTTACTTTAGATAAACAATTATGTAATACAAATCCAGGACCTATCGGTCTCGTGCCAGGCGCATAACCAACTAGATCACTGAGCCGGCATCCAATAGTGTTAATGTCTAACTTCAACCAATTCACGAAGTTGCACCACCGTACACCATTGTCTTCAGTGAGCTGTAATCTCACAACAGACCTGGTTGATCTCTACAGCGATCTACATCGTTAAGCGCCTGGCGCGAGACTGATAGGTCCTGGGTTCGAATCTCGCGGGGGGCGAAATCGTGGATGCGCACTGATGAGGAGCCCCCTACTAGGACGAAAAGACCGTCCAGTACTTCCACCATCCTCTGGTCTCATAATCCACTCACACACGTGATAGTCACAACTTGACAACTTGACGTCAGCAGCACATCTAAACACTTTTCACTAGTTGCATTACAGAGCAACAACACCAGATATTTGTTCAGGCGAATACAAACCACAATCAGTCAACTCGGTTGACCGCGAATTTCATAAGTAGGACAACATGGATGGAAGTGGTTTAATTTGTTGATATTTAGGAATTCTGTGATTTTCAATTGACATTGATCAATCAGTGGTTGACCTGACTTGATTTATGCCTACTACTATGTGTATAGTGGATGCAGTATCAACAAGTTATATTCAACTGTTCCTGTATATCTGTTTGTGTGTGATTGATTGATTGATTGACTGACTGATACACTCGACAGTGTTCTCACATTTTCTTCTCCTCTTCTCTCCTCCACATTCTCATGTCGATCGTTAGCGTCGTTAGAGTCGTACTCACCACTCACACGTTTCTACACTCTCCCACCTTCCTAACATCAATGCACTGGGAAACTAGACGACCAGCGATTCACAGAATTTACAAATTGTGTATGTGTGTGTGCATGTGAAGATTTTGGGTGTATTCAGTGATTATTTTGAGAAACAAGCCAACCTCAATAAAGATCGTGAATGATTAATGGTGTTGTGTGTGCGTATGATGGAGTTAGTGAGTGATTGGTTGAGTGGGTTGGTGGTTGAATTGTATGTGTTGCGAATTGTAGTGATGAAGAATGTGTTGTTGGATATGGATGTAGAGTGAATGTGTGGAATATGTGTCTGGTTATTGATCAGTGGGAGTTGAGTGATTGTGATTGAATTGAAGTGAATTGAGTGAAGCAGAAGCACTAAAAGCAGACGTAGCGGCAACTGCAGGGATACTGCACATTCTCTTCAATAAGATTTGGGATAAGGAACATGTACCAAAAGACTGGAAAGAAGGACTCCTTATCAAAATACCGCAGACAGGCGATCTCAGCAAGTGTGATAATTACAGGGGCATCACTCTTCTCTCAATACCTGGAAAGTCTTCAACAGAGTATTGTTAAACAGGATGAAGGACTGCGTAGACGCCCAACTTCGTGACCGACAGGCAGGATTCCGTAAGGATAGATTATATACAGACCAAATCACAACTCTACGGATCATTGTGGAACAATCAATTGAATGGAATTCATCACTCTACATCAACTTCATTGACTACGAAAAGGCATTTGATAGCGTGGACAGAACAACACTATGGAAACTTCTTCGACACTACGGCGTGCGTCAAATGATAGTCAATATCATACAGAGTTCATATGATGGATTACACTGCAAAATCGTGCATGGAGGACAGTTGACAAAGTCGTTCGAAGTGAAGACCGGTGTTAGGCAAGGTTGCTTACTCTCAACCTTTCTCTTTCTCCAGGTGATCGACTGTTTGTGTGTGTGATTGATTGACTTATACACTCGACAGTACCAACAAGTCCTCGTTGACAATGGCGTAGTTGTATGCACTCTTGGCCTTTTTTAAATTAGAATATTAAAATGGTTTTATTTTTTTCTTACAATTCACTAATGCTTTCTTCCTGTATTATATCCTTATATGCAGTCTTTTTTTGTACATTACTACCATTGACTTAACTACTCCTATGAATTCGGTTTTCATCTTGCTGTGGTAATTAGTTATATCAACTTGGACCGATGCACATATGTGCCTGTTACTGCGTTGTAACTAACTAACTGACTAACTATACAATGATCATTTTCATTTCAGGTCAAGACAATGAATGATAAAAGTGATGTTATTTAGTTAAAATGCGATAATAATAATCGTAATCATAAATTTCATACAACACAAATGTACAAATTTATATATCTATATATAAGTAGTTTATAAGTAGTATAAATTCATAGGAATGATAATACTGTTTACATCGTTTCCTCTCTTTATTCTTATCTTTCTTTCTTTCTTTTTTATTTATTTTAATAAAGGAATAAAACAAAATTAATGAACAAGTAAATTGTTATTTTTAGATAATTTTAAAAAACCTTTGTTACTACTGATAAAGAATCTGTAAGTAATATTGGTGATTCATGAGGAGATTGTGTTGAACTATTATTCATTGTCATCCATGTTGAAGTTGAGGATGATGATGAAGTTGATGATGATGATGGATAGGAAGGTAAAGAATGATTGACTAAACTAAAAATGAATTTATAACAACCAAATTGTATAATTGAGCCATGTCTTAAAATAGAAAACCCTTCCCAACCAGTGATTAAATTGAATGAATCTGTTTTATCATTTTGAGTAAAATGTAAACTTGTACAATCACATATAGATGTCATATGTGATAAATCCTGATAAAGCATATGAAAGAAAAAGAAAAAAAGAGAAAAGGTATAAATAAGGATAATAACAATGACTGAGAATGAGAAGAGTCAGTTCTCCTTCTTGAAATGATGTGACAGGGAAATCCTACTTTTACTACATTGTCGTCAAGGGGGTTGTTGTTTATGAAATTAGGAGAAGGATGAAAGGCGAGTGTTGGACGCTCTAAATGGGTTGGTGAATATGAAGAATCCACCTAGGACAGTTGAAGAAACCTTCTTTTCAAACTGATGGTATACATGGGCTCCACTATCCTGAGGGAACAAAAGGTTTATGAACTGTTAGTTGGTGACTAGCTACCACGGAACTGCATCTCCTGACGTTGCTCCACTACCTTGTGAACTAGACCTGTAAGCCAAATGCTCGAGGTGTGGCCTCCTAAGAAATGCATCTACGTCGGTTTGAGCACCTGAGCAGCAATCTCAGCCCTCACATAAATTGAATGATTTATGTGGAGCACATCTGTTTAGTGACTACGCGTACCATTATTTATGTGTTTAAATAAAGTAAAGAATAATAATAAACGAGTGAGTTTGCCTTGTAACTAAGTGAGACCTCAGTAGTGAACGAGTTTCAATGACGATATTTTCTGTTGAATAATATCCATTTAAATCCATAGAGAAGTATGCAAGTTTTTCAAAGTGTAAATATGACTTGCTGCTGAATGTTAAATTTAGGGTTCAAGGATTTCTTGTGAATTTACTGGGAAACATTTAATTAGACATCTTCAGTTTGCATTAAGGATCATAAATATAATTTAAACACATAAACATATGTAGAAGGAGGCACAAAATAGGTATGCACCACACTTCACTATTCGATTTGTGTGAGAGATAATAGCCGGATGCTACAACGGAAGCAAGTGGTTCTCGTAGAGGGATACACACGGAGCCTTTGACCAGTGGTCTAATCCACAAGACAGTGGAGCAATGTTAAGAGATGTAGTCATATGGTAACCGGTAACCAGCAAAAGATTCATACGCCATTTGTTCCCTCGTGATCCTGGAGCCTATGTACACCGTTGGTTTGGAATTACGCTTTTTCAACTCCCCTACGTGGACGCTCCATATCCACCGAATACCTAAAGCGCCAAACATTCGCTTCTCATCCTCGTAATCTAACAAAAAACACCCTCACCACGAAAAGGCAGTTAGTAGGACTTCCCTGGCAGTGATTATATACGCGTGGCCATTTGGAAGCGTTTCGATATTAAGAGTGGAATCTCTTCACCCTCGACCACACCAGGACATTCGAGGGCAACATTTCACAAAGACGATTTTTTACCACTATTATACAATATGCAATTTCGCACCAAGGCAACTAACTTAAAGTTGGAAAAACAATATAAAATAATAAGCATTGAATACAAATATTTTGTTCTCATTCGAAATGCGTCGACATTGTGGTTTGTACATGTACAATCACCTCTATACCATGAGATCGCAACTAGGTTACTCATGTCTGACAGTGAACATTAGAATTGAAATCTACAAATTTACTACTAAAAAGTTTGATTTCATAGTTTATATTACGAAATGAGTTTAGTTATACAAGTTGTTAAATTTGTTGCCTACTCTCCCTCTTTCTCTTTTTTTTGGTGGTGGTCGACAGGAGTATGAAGAGCTCGACAATTCAGGAAAAGCACGGAATACTAGACGACTTTAACTTTGTACGTGACCTACAACTTCTGTCTCATTCACATGAACAAACGTAGATCAAGACAAACTGTGTAGCAGCACCCACTGCAGCAGTAGGCCCAACATACACAACGGAAAAAAGCAAGATCCTTAAATACAACTCGAAGAACACCAGCTCAATCACAATTGATCGAGAAGCTCTGAAATAGGTGGAACCTTTCACGTATATGGGAAGCATCATCGATGAACAAGGAGGATCGGATGCAGATATAAGGGCGAGGACTGGCAAAGCAAGGACAGCATGCCTACAGTTGAAGAACATATGCAACAACCAACATAAAAGTCACAATATACAATGAAAATTTTGTTTTTGTAAAAGTACTAATTCCGTGAGGAAATGTGAACATAGTTAATAAAACGGTTATAATAATAGATTACGTAATATGAATAATAATAATAACCATAGATTTAGTGATTATAATAAGATGATTAAAATGTTTTTTTGTTATAATAATTAAAGGTCAATAGAGGTGTAAAAATAAATAAATATGGTGATATGATGAGTATTAACGAATAAAACAATGAGAATATAAGATATAAGTAAAGGGGAGAATGTAGTAATAATAATAATAATAATAATAATAATAATAATAATAATAATAATAATAATTGAATAATCAAAATACTTAAGGCCAAGGTAACGATAACAATAAGACGTACTTCTTTTGTACGCATAGTTCTCGGTTAAGCTCCTGGATGGTAAGAGCTTCGGTTATTTTTAAAAGTTGGATGAGAAGAAATCTGGGTAGATTTGAACGAATCATATAAACAATCTTAAATTCATTTCTTGGATCAGTGGAATGGTTACAGTCGATTAGGTGTTCAAGTATAGAACTCCTAACTGCTTTCCTTTCCCCCTTATAGAACCAAGCCGGAATATGTTCCCGTATCCGAGTTGAAAGCGAGCGCTGGCTACGGCCAATGTACCTTGCTCCACAAGAGCAGGTGAACTGGTAGATGCACATAGAGGCGACCAGACGCGGAAGCTTGTCTTTTATGGACACGGAAAATAAGTTCCTACTAGTGAAGTTTATTCGCAATTTAGCTGCATTAAATGTTCGTCTAATAGTTGTTGTTAGACGATTTTTGATTACTTCTGATGTTCGATCACCTTTAAATTCCAGACTTATATAAAGGTTTTTCTTCGTAACGGAGCAACTAGGTTTCTTGTCACAACTACCTCTATTCATATTCTTTTCTATGAACCGTTCTGGGTAGCCATTTTCCGTTAGGGTTTTCTTGAGGAATTCCAGTTCTTCGTTAATGCATTCTTTACTGCATATCTAACGTATTCTATAGCATAAAGAGTGGATGAGATTTCTATTTTCTGAAGATTGATCGTTTTAAGGAACCATTACTCCTTCTCATCAGACGTACATCGAGAAAAGGAATTGATTGGTCCCGTTCCCTTTCTAACGTGAAGTCTATAGAAGGGTGGCATGAGTTAAAGGTGTTTAAAATATCCTCTAAATCAATATTATTGTCACAAACGATAAACGTGTCGTTCATATATCTAACGTATAGGTGAAATTGACTGATTATCGAGCTTAGTTGGTCGTCTTCTAGTTTTGCCATGAAGCAGTCTGCTAAAATCGGACCCAATGGAGACCCCATTGCGATCCCATCCCTCTGTCTATATATTTCATTATTGAAACTAAACTGGACATTAAAGGTACAGCGTAACAATAGTTCTTTCAAGTGTTCAGTCGGCAAACCTAGATCTATGTTTTTGGAATCAATATACTCACATATATAACATATCGTTTCGGTTAAAGGTACGCTAGTGAATAAAGAATTAACGTCAAGTGATAACATGTATTTTCCGGAAGTATTAACGTCCTTAATACGATCAATAAATTGAAAAGTATCATGAATAGAAAATTTAGATACTTGCCTTCTAACCGGTTCCAATATTCCCGCTAGCCATTTGGCGATTCTGTGGTATGGTGAAACCGACATATCCAAAATAGGTCGTAACGGTAAACCCGGCTTATGTACTTTCGGTAGTCCATATAAGCGCGGGATGATTGAACCCATGGGACGTATGTGATTATATAAATCTTGGGTTATTAACCCCTTATTCTTAAAAATTTTAACAACATCTGTTAGTTGTTTTTCGATTTGCAATGTTTTATCAACTTCTTTAAGTTTGGAGAATTTAGTACTATCCTCTAGAATTAATTTCATTTTATCCAAATATTCTTGGCGGCCAAGTAGTACTACACCAGCTCCTTTGTCAGGTTTACTTAGGATTAAATCCTTATTTCTTTTCAGGAGTATTAGCTGATCCAAGTGGTTCTTAGTTAATAGGTTATTCTTACTACATTGTGCATTAACGTATCCATGACTGCAGTCCACTAATGTGGATTTAAAGTGCTGAACAATATTTCTGGGGATGTTGGCACAAGATCATGAGTTTGATTTGATAGGTTTTCGAATTGTATTTGTGTATGAAGTCTACTAGTTTTAGAGGTGCTGTTACAGAACTTCGGACCCAATGATAAGCCCTGTATTTGAACTGGTGAAAGTTTAGTAGAAGAGTGATTAAATATATACTTTTCTGGATGTTCCGGAAACTTCTTAATCACGTCTACGTGTTGCAATGTTCCCAAGTGTTTACGTTTAGCTTTTTGTGACTGTTTTTCCGTAACATTAGTAACATAGTCCTCAAATTGTTTACGTTCATCTAACGACAATTCAAACAAGGCGTGACTTCTTAGAGATATGTTGCGATCTAGTTCGACTTTTCGAGATTTGATAGCATTGATATAATTGAGTGCATGACGTTTGAGTGTTTTTGCATTGTGATGAATATGGTTTCGTCTTAGTGCCTTCCAGAAACGTTTAGGATAATCATTATTTTCGATACAGCTTTCGAGAAAATTGATCTCACATTTCACTAACGCAAGATTGACGGTGTAACGTAAGAACCCATTGAGCCCTTTCATCGTCATAAGGTCCGTGCATTTCTTCAATTGACAGATAATTCCCATTTAAACATTAAAATTAAAAATTTTAGGAGCAGTTTTTATTAGATTACGAACTCGATGAACAAGATCGGAAGACTAAAAATGTGTTTGCGCACTCTCGAATTGTATTCTCTATATCTCTGCTTTATATTGCCACTGATATTACTACTACCACGACTACTACTCCGATCTCCCGCTTGAAAAGTTCACTTAGCTGTTTTGATTCTTTGATAAAAATTGTTCTGATGCATACATGTACCAGGTTCTACATCATCTGGATGACCGTTTCGTTCTACAGTGGGACTCTTCAGCAGTTCGCATTCATGACCAGTGCTTTTGGTTTTCTATGGTGGTGGTCTAGCTTCAAATCACTCATGATCTCAACTATTAAATTTATAAGATTTCTATTTAACTTATTAATTATTAGTGCTTTATTGTACCAGAATTATTGTTAATTAATTATGCACTTACTACTGGACTGTTTTGTATTACAAATGGCTTAACCTGAGTTCGAATCTCACGAGGGAATTATGGATGCGCACTGCTGAGGAATCCCATAATGGAACAAAACGGCGTTTCAATCCTTGCAGGTTTTGCATGATGATCTAACTTTAATCGACTGATTCCCCGCAATGAATAAATTACTGCAATTTCCACAAAACCTTCTGATATAAAGCGAAATGTTAATAATTCAACTTCATCATCATACGAACAAATCATTCTTGGCGATTAAAAGAATTTCCGGTGAGACCATAATTTATGGACGACCTTTGACCAACACTAAAGTGACCTTGAGAACGCACAACAACTAACTAGAACTAAATGAGAGTTATACACCAATGTGAAGGTTTACATCATGAACTCATATAAGTTATAATGCCAAAACTCCATTTAACCAAACTGAATGAATGAATTTGGCGCCGAGAATTCAAGGCCTGATTGGTTCATTGATAAATTATAGTTTCATCATTATTATCACAATAGTTCGCTAAATTTCATGGATTAGTTGAAGTTAGACGTTAGCACCGTTGGATGCCGGTCGGCTCAATAGTCTAGTAGTTAAGTGCTCACGCGCGAGATTGATAGATCCTGAGTTCGAACCTTGCGAGGCAAGATCGTGGATGAGCACTGTTGAAGAGTTTCACAATAGGACAAAATGGCCATTTAGTGATTTCAAGTCTTCCATGGTGATCTAGCCTTCAAATGACTTTTATGATCTCAACCATTGAAAGTTCTATTGAAATAAAACAAAACATTAAACTTACTTCTGGAATATAAATTAATTTTCTATCTATATCATTCCCATATATAATACCATCTACACATGTACCATATTCACTATAATTAATTAATTCATAATGTTGTGTCCAATCATCATAGAAGATTGTAGCATGATGTGGTGATATAAATGAACATTTTTGATTATTTAATGAAGATAAATTATAATTAGCTAAACATAAATGACAATCTGGTGCTATCGAGAAAATGAAGTAAAAGAAAAAAGAGAATGTAAATGAAATATATGATGTAATATATTAGTGAATAGTTTCTAATCAGTTACCAAGTATAAAGCCTCTCTGAATGCCCTGGTATGGTCGAAGGTTAGGAAAGTCAGCTATCCTTCTCGAAATGTTATCACATGATTATGTGTATACAACTACTGTAAGCGAAGTTCTACTCACTACCCTCTCATGACATTACTGTTGTTTACGAAATTGAGAGGACGAAAAGAGAATATCCGGTGACTGAACTGGATTGGTGGATATGGAAAATTCACCTAGGGGAGTTGGAAAACAGTGATTCCAAACCAATGGTGCACATTGGTTCCAGGAACGAATGGCGTATGAACTGATTATTGGTCACCGGATACCGTATGACTGCATCTCCTGAAGTTGCTCCACTACCTTGTGGATTAGACCTGTAAATCGAAGGCTCTGTGCGTGGCCCCCTAAGAAAATTGCCTGCCTCAGTTTGTGCTACCGGATAAAGAATACTGATGAACAGCCAATACTTCTCCACAAGAAGTAACAGTTGTAAATCAGCTACTTTCGAGTATATATTTTCTTTTGTTTATATAAAACGCCATATCTATCACCACATTGATTTATTATTATTATCCAATCAAATTGTTTTATCCAAATTAACAACTAAAAATTAAAATATGAAAATCAACATTTTAACCAATCAGAAGTTGATAAATTAAGAAATAACATTTAAAATATACCTGGAAACAACAGTTAAATGGATAGATTCCTTTAAGCATGTATCCATGCCTGTATGTATATATGTCTGTATATTTGTATGTATTTGTGTAAGTATATGTGGGTATCTATGTAGGTATGTAAGTATGAGGTGAATACATAACATTGTCCTGTTTACTAATATTTGAACTCACTATTATCATCATATTCATTTAACTCTTATTTATTCATTAAATATCCTCATTGTTACTATGGTATATGAATCAATTCTATTCTGTTATAGCTACAATCATTATCATTATCCCATAGTGATTACGTAACTCTTAATTGATAATAAATATGCCTGTACAAAGAACAACAAAAGCACACACACACACAAATACATAACAACCATATTTACAACGTATTTTAATGTTGACTACATACTTTTTCAATAACGAATTCATATATTTTCATGGAAAATATAAAAGTTTCTATCATTCACATGTTTCAACATAGAAGATCTTTATCTGGAACGTATAATCATTGAATTATTGAATAAGGAAGTAATTTATATACACCGTTAGATGTAGACCAGCTCAGTGGTCTATAGGTTATAGGCATTCGAGTGTGAGATCACCATCACTGGATTCACTGCTTCTATGAATTCGATGTTCATCTTGATATACTAATGATGTATGACAACTTGGATCGATACATATGTATACCATTGGTCTTACGTTGTATCTGACTAACTGACTGAAGTGAACTGATCAGTTCATCACCGTAATTGATATTTTGAAAAATTGAGAGTTTTCTACTAGTCACTAATCCTCGTATACAATGGTCGATTTAAATCACGTTGTTGAATAACTGCATTGAAAATTGGTCAAATATGAGAATGGATTTCGATTACGTATATTTTGTGCACTGATTGATCTGAATAGACAATCAGAGGAACGAATCGAAACAATGTGTAAGTGATATGACGTGTAAGCCACATCAATCTAATCAAGCATTAATTGATATTCATAGTCAAATCAATAATAAGTTAAAGAAATGTGATGAATTGGCATAAGAAGATGCAGTCACACACCCTCACATGAATACGGTGAAGGTTGATAAACGAATGCTGAACAGGGTCAAAACGTGACTCGACAAGCATGAATAAATTGCCTTACATGGAACCTATAATAAACTATATGGGTTTGACCTAGCAACCAACACTATACTTTCAATTCTCGTAGTAAGACAAAACCGTAGTCTAATGGTTTTTGATTTTTAATGATCAACTCTATTTGAAATGAGTCCAGGATGTCAACTTTAATTAATATTAAAGAAGAAGAATGTATTTGTAAAGTCCCAATAACTCAGCAATGCGTCATCATGATCTCGTACGAGGGATTCAAACCCAGGAACTCTCTGTCTCGTGCAAGAATGCTTAACCTACAGACCGCTTAATCGATCAGCACTCAGTTATGTATGTACAACTTCAAGCAACCCACGAAATAACTCCACCGTCCAATGATGTCAGGTTATCCATGATCGACTAGCTTTATCTGGCTCATGATCTTAACTATTGAAATTACTATATTCTCCACAAAACCCCTTCTTATATATCTATATACTTGAAAATTGTATTATGTGCAAATTAGAAAAGTCATTCATTAAAGGTCAAGATGATTTGGGAGTAAAATGTTCAGTCACAATAAGTGAAGAATAGTATTATAGCAAAGTTGAAAATGCAAAAAAATGTTTTGTGTGAATAAAATGCGCTCAAACCTTCTGGAACGCATATCCCTCGACTATATGGCCTACCTAAGATTCACAAACTTGATGTTCCTTTACGCCCGATACTGGATATGGCAAATTCTCCATACCATTCAACAGCAAAATGGTTAGTTAAGTTATTAGAACCATTGCACCAAGAACTTGTTAAGCATAGTGTTAATGATGTCTTTGAATTTGTTGATACGATTAAAAAAATTAATATAAATGGCAAAGCCATGCTGTCACTAGACGTAACATCTTTGTAAGTTTTGATCGACTTACATGTACACAAATAAAACGACTACGGAGGATGAAGGAAAGAATGTACAAGGTGAAGAACTGTAATGAAGTTCGTAAGCTAAATCGTCTGATAAACCTAGAGATTAGACGTCTCAACTGTATGTTTACTCAAAAATTCTTGTCATGCAAAAACTCTTTAAAGAACTTACAGGTGACAGACAGTTTAGAAGCGATAACCAGCTGAATGTTTGTGACCTAAATAAGTCTGTTGTACGTCAGTCATTTGATGTAATGCTTCCTTCATTCACAGGTGTAAAGAATAACTGTGTTCCTAGTTACACCGAAACTGATGTCCAAAGATGTCTCCAGTCACTGAATTCATCCCGATATTAGGACATGATGGTATCCCTAACCTCCTTTCTAAAAAATGTGCTGACGTCCTATGTTATCCGTTCACAACTATCTTTAACAAATTCTTCTCATCTAATCTCATACCGAATATGTGGAGAAAGATGAAGATAATTCCTGTACCCAAGAAAGCATCTGGTGATAAGAATGTAAAATTTAAACCCATTGCAATAACTTCACCCTTCCTCAAAACAATGGAAAATATTAATACTTCCACTTCAGCCGACGATAGAAGAGCATATTGATACGTATCAGTTTGTCTAAAGACGCAAAGGAAGCACCATAGATGCTGTTGCTGTTCTGCATCACAACATAGTGTTCAAACTAGAAAGGGGTAAGAAGTATGTTTGATGTGCTTTTATGGAATATACTTCAGCTTTTGATTCTATACCAAGACAACGTTCACTTAATCTGCGTCAACACTGACGGCTGGATAACCAAATGATTATGTTCCTACCTCTCTGGAAGGGAGCAGAACGCTGTATTTGGAAGAAAGTGTTCAGAGTCTCCACTGTCTCATGAAGGTGTACCATAAGGAGCTGTTCTTTCACCCCTTCTTTTCTCTTTTTTTCTGCATGATCTGCCATCTTTCAAAGAAAACACTTTTGTGAAATATGCGGATGATCTCACTATATGTATACCTATCTCTTCCTCTTTACATCCCATAGAAATGAATGAGTTTTTGTCTCGTATTGATTGTTGGTCTGGTGGTAATGGTCTCATACTTAATCCCTCGAAATGTCAAGCTGTTAACTTTAGCATGAGACATGAACGGAACCTAAACACTATTTTGAGATCCCATAATGCTTTTACCATCGGAGACTCTTTGATAAACTCAGTGTCGAAGGTCAATTATATCGGTGTCACCTTTTCCTCTGATCTGTCTTGGTCTTCTCACAATTTATTGTTATCGAAGAAGGTTTTCCGTCTGACTTACTACATAAATAACTTGCAAGCTCTTGGGATTACTCGTAATTTACTCTTACAATTTGTCAATTCTTGCATATTACCTATTATTCTTTACTGTTTCCATTATTCTTTCTCGGGCTATTGAGAAAAGACTTTGTTGTATTGCGGAGAGTGCTAAAGGCATTTATCAATGTGTGTGGTGAGTCTTTCTAGGTCATAATTAATATGGTTGTGGATAGAAATCTTAAGTCATGCAAACTCCTGGCAGTTGTTATTTGATAAGATACTAACCAACCCCCAGACTCTTATCTTTCTCCTTGTATATCTTCTGGTTGAACGAGACGTAATTACATTAAAGTTCATGCACGCAAGCAAAAGTATAAAAGTCCTATAATACCTTACCTAGCAAATATACACTGTGAAGAACAGGTTGTTAGAGTTAACCTTGACAATAACCCACCTTCCTAACATGTCTCTAATTTGAAAATTTGTACAGTTTTTCAGATTTCTTTTTTTAAACTTTTTTTCTTTATTCTTCTCTTCGGTTCTGTCTTTTTGTGCAAGAATCTTGTTGAAATACTCTGTGCTGAGAATTTCTATTTTGTATCAAAATATAATAAAGAATAAAACTATTGGTATAACGCTTGATTCCACTTGGTCTACATGTTTGGGACTTTAATTTATTTTAGACGGATATCTACGGTAGATTCCTTCCCAGTGTCTATTCTACAGGACCTCAACACAATTCAGATCAATAATACGTGATTAGCCTGATTAGAACGTAAATATATTTTTACATTGAAAGGCCGACACAATCCAACCTTAACGAACAATCAATAATAAGTAATAATAAGGATAGTGGAACAAAAAACTCATCTTACATCTGACAAACTAACTACATGTGTGACTAAACAAACATTCAATCCTTATCATACTGACCTGCACATCAAAAGCACAGTGAAGCTCTCATACTTTTGCTTGCATATATGGATTCTAATGTAATGACATCTTGTTCCACCTAAACATATACAAGGGGAAAGATATGAATGAAGAGGATTGTTAGTATTCGATAAGGGAACATCTACCAGGCCTTAGGAAGACATTCGATGTTTATCTACAATCGTATTAATATTGACCTCAAAAGAATAACCAAATATCTTACTAACTGCCTTCAACACTCCTCGCAAAACAGCCGGAGAACGGATAATGCAGAACAGTAAAGAATAATTGATTACATGCAAGAACCTACAAATCGTACGTCCAAATTGAGTACATACAACAATGTGAAAAATACACATGAAGTTATAAGTAGAGACTAACAAATAAATTTTAATCTAAATCTTACTTATCCTAAGCAGATTAGTTTTCTTCTCATAATTGGGTACTGATCAACGGCACAAAGTGTACAATGTATCACTGAATTTATTTTGATGTTGATTCATTCATGAAATTACACAACAATGTTTTGTTCGATTACAGACTGTAGTGCTCGAGGAAACGCCATTTCGATTCCAGTGAAAACCCTTCTAAAGTAAAACAACAGAACTCTACAGTATCAAGAGAAAACATATTTGCACACTCACCCTTGAAATTATCTAATCACAGTGATTTACTCGTATACTTCAACTTAGATGACAATTCATACAAGCTCAAATGATATATATGTCAATAATAAATTGAAATATGAAGATGGAAATTATTCCTTCCTTTGTGAATTAACAAATTTATTAGTTATCAGATACAATAATCACTGTTGTAACTACAAATCTGTGTCTGGTTCAAGAAATCGTTCTGAATGTTCTACAGTACACTTTTGACGGAATGCATTGCATCTTTATTATTACAATATTTGGCTACCTTAATCTACATACCTGGACACAATCAGTTCCACTTCTACATGATCGTTAAATAATTTATTTCCTCTTATTATCCCAACGCCTATTAATAACCAGTGGTATAATATAGTGGTCAAACAGAATGGATGTGACTTTGCTTCGATGTTATATTTTCATTTAAGAACAATGAGGAAATCGCCTTACAGAATTTTTATTAAAATAAAATTCAAGTGTAAAATTGTAAATACTGACATCCAATCAAAAGAGTTTGTGTCACTGTAATTGTAACCAATCAAATCAAAACAATCCACCACTGACAACCAATTAACAGGTAATTACAGGCAACAATCTGTTTGTTCGTAAACACATGAGCGTATATTTTGAATAACAAGTTGATGAATCACTAATCTGAAATTATTGTTAATGACATCCAGGAGGACTTTCATCAATAAGGGTTAGGATATCGCAGGAACGGTGAATAAACGATAGTTCAGATTCTCAAAATAGATGGAAGAAAATTGAATTATGACCAGTTCTTCCACCACCATGATTAGTTAACAATGTACATATGATCACATCAAATTTAATCTTCTTAATGATCACTTTGAATAATCGAATCAGAATAAAACAACAAAGCACTTTAAAGTCTATAAAAGCTTGACAACATTCAGTAAAATTTGATGCACCACATTGAACGAGATGATGAGGTGAGAGTTGACCAAACATACGAAGTAAATCAGCCAGTAATACGAACACAAATAACACTGTTTCATTAACATGGATCATTTTACATACAAATTTCCGTACAATCTATTGATATGGTTTTATTTGGTCTTGAAATTGTCTTCCCAATTCTACGACTGTCAAGAAATCTGTAAACAGTCGGATTGGAAGAACTAAACACAAGTTTCTTCGACCTAAAATTGTCACTGACTTTTCTCGGTCGCGTTTCATTCCATGAATCAGAGATGGTCACTGCGTTCAGCAAAACAGCTTTATACACTTAGTGACATTCATAGCTTCTTTGCACCATCTGACAGCGATTAATTCTTCTGAAATAATGAAAATAAGAATAGGTAATGAAATATCTATATAATGAATATGCATCTCTTTCAATAAATGTAAGTTTAAACACGGACTGTCTTTGCATACAAGTTATCATACCTATTCTCAGAGTTACATGTAGTGATATGGTCAAATGCTCATCTCTTATGACAAAATTTCAAAGAATATTGTCACTTCAACGACAGGATGAACGTTTCAATCCAGTCAACTCAGAAAAATATTTCACCTCTGTAAAAGTTATTTTAAGAGCATCTGACTGAGTGAGAGTCATCTAATATCTATCTTACAGTAGTCTAACAAAATCATTACCGGTCATTCAGTAATTCATCAATTCGAACAGCTGACCGAAATGAATGTGTGTGAAATTGATGTTCTAGGTGTTCAATTTCGAGTAAAACATGTTGTTGAAAATACGATGGTCATCAGACAGCAACTCCGAAGCAATAAACATTTATAAATCAAGTTTATGATAGAGAAGTATCAGAGGACATGAAATATGATTTGATAGTTTGTAGGCTTCACAAGTTCAAACGGACGTCACTCACAACATCACTTATTGTTGTACATTTGCTCAATTCAATTCACTTAGTCTAAAGAGAAGTGTCGTGTGGGTGAGATAATCTTTATACAAACTGAATTTCAGCACAATAAATAAAACAAACTTCAAACTGAATAATGTAAGAGCTCACTCGTTTGCAAAACCTCGAAATTAAGAGACGATATTTTTCTTAAACGAATTGTGATTTATTCCAATCATGTATGTGTTCTTATATACAAATATTTTACCCGTAATTTTGTTAGTGAAAATATGCAAAGAATCTATGAATGTGACTAACTGTATAAAGCTGTTTTGCTGAACACAGTGACCATCTCTGATTCATGGAATGAATCGTGATCGAGAAATCTCAGTGACAATTTTAGGTCGAAGAAACTTACTGATTTACCATCAAATCAAACCATTAATCCATCTGCATCTTCATCATAATATTTAAACGATATTTGTGCTTTAACAGAATAAAATGATGTAAATATGTGGATGAATAGCTCCTTTAGAAAATGTGAACCACTCACTTGGTAGAACGAGAATTCAACAAATCTGCCATTCACAACTGGGTGAGGCTGATTGAGACTTATTCTTTGTGAGTAATGTCTATTAGAATCTGACTGATTACTTACATGTCGAAATGAATCATTCACAAAAATCACTTGTGTTTAGTTCTTCCAATCCGGCTGTTTACAGATTTCTTGACAGTCGTAGAATTGGGAAGACAATTTCAAGACCAAATAAAACCATATCAATAGATTGTACGGAAATTTGTATGTAAAATGATCCATGTTAATGAAACAGTGTTATTTGTGTTCGTATTACTGGCTGATTTACTTCGTATGTTTGATCAACCCTCACCTCATCATCTCGTTCAATGTGGTGCATCAAATTTTACTGAATGTTGTCAAGCTTTTATAGACTTTAAAGTGCTTTGTTGTCTTATTCTGATTCGATGATTCAAAGTGACCATTAAGAAGATTAAATTTACTAAGATCATATGTACATTATTGACCAATTCTTGTGGTATATGAACTCATTGTTACTCCATATTGTTTTATCTAATGACAACATGAACTGATATTGATCCGCTCTGGTTTGACATGCTTTACCTAAATGTGTTTAGCAATAATTCATAATTAGTAATCGATTACTTTAACACACGATTATGTGTGTAAATATAGCATAGTCATGGTATCTATGTCATTTCTTCTTATCTACTATGCACAGCTGCATCAAAATGATTTTTCTGAAAGTAACACTAGTGAAAATAAAGGTGCACATAATCTGAGAGTGTGATTTCCAAATGTCTGTGTGTTGACCTGGTTTGTTGTTTGTAGAAATGTCAATAATCATACTTCTACGTTGTTTATCACCAGACCATATCTAAATAATCAGGTTATTTGATGTTCGTTTTTGTGTTGTGAACGTGATATTTACCTGGAGTACAGTGAGTAATGTCGCTTTATGATCATGCATTCATATGACTGTCAAACACCGACAAATACACCGCAGATAAATGAATGAAATTGTTTTTTTTTAATTATAGAGAAGATTTTGCACCAACTATGAATAAACTCATCAAACATTTATGGTCTAATTTTTAAAACGTGTAGTGATTGATATCGTGTTGTGGCATTGAGCTTTAACCA